AGTTTCCTTGAATTAATAAAGTAAAGCTATTTATATTGAAAGAATGAAAGATTTTAAATCAAGTTAATGTTTAAACATTTCTTATATGATGATCAATAACCTTAAAAAATATAGTGTTTTAGGAAAAAAAAATTTAGCAGTACAAATATCTTTCCTCAAACAATTTATTGACTGTTCGTAGGCTAGATTCATTATTCTTTTCTTTTATTTTTCTTCTTCTTCCACTTGTTTCTAAATCTTTATTCCCTCAATTATTTTTTCCCAACTTTTTATTTTAATTCTCATTTGTTTCAAAATAAAATTCCATTATATATTAGTTGACTTGTTATGAATAGTTTTTATCTGAACAAGTTTTCATTTGGAATGTTTTTTATTCCAAATTTCTAAATTCTATTTCTATTAGTGTTTGAATTCTATTTCCATTATTACTGTTGAATTATTGATTGATTTGGTCGGTTGGAAAGGAGATTATCTTAATTTTAACTCATGATAGAACTTTTTGGGTGTTTCACTAGATTTAAGGAATTTTTGGTACCTCGGGACTAATTTTGCCAAGAGAAATCATCTTAAATTGTAATTTATTTATTGACTTGTGTATTGTTGTAATTGTTGATGAATTGCTGAATTGTACATTGAAACTTATGGCTCTTTTTATGTATATGTATTTTTGAACTAATAGGAAATCGAAATTTAAGAATATTGCTTAAGGTAACATTACTCAAGTGACACTCTCTTGATTTGTCAATCATGTTTTAACCTAGCCTAAAAGGATGTATATTCTAACTTACTATTTTTATTATAAAATTGATAATTTATTTCAATAAAATGTTAAAATAGAATGTTTAAATGATTGATGTTTATAATAATGAGTAATATGACATTTGAAATATTATTTGTTAGTAAGTAAAGAAACTTATGAAGGTGAATATTTTAATTAGATAAAGACCTTAAAATTCATCTATAATTTTTCATCAGATAAAAATGTATCATAAAAAAGAAAAACAAAAACAAAAGCATCGGATCAAACCAAACCCATGCAGAAAAATATAAAAATAAAATCGTAAAAGAACTATAAAAAAATTCAAACAAATTAATAAAAGTAAAAAGATATTCAAAAGCATTTGAAAATAACATTTGTGTTAAAACTTGATCTTAGTAAGCTTATTAATACAATAATTTTCTTCTAGATAAATGTGATAAGTGTTTATCGTCCTCATAAGTTACATGTATTTTTTTCAACTTTATCTAAGAAACCAAAAAATAATAAAAGAAAAAAAAGCTTAGCCAACAAAGCAAAATCACATTTGAACCACACACATCTATAACCAGCATAAAAATTATTATGTATAGCAATAAAATAAATGTAGGTGTCATTGTATTCAATCTTGCTATTTCTAAAGGCACCTCTAATCACCAAAGCCAAAACAATCTCTAGCAGCCTCACAGTGAATACATACATCTTACAAAGAATTGAATCGTGATAACCACTTTTCATGGTCTAGTTAGGATGCTAAAAAATTCAAAACAAAAAATTCATTTATTATTTATTGATTTTCTAGAAGCATTATGAACTATTTAAGTTTTTGACAATGTTAATAGCTGAATTCAAATTAATACTGTGCTAAAACCTTGCATAATTCTCATTTTTTATATCATCCACTTATTATTTCTACACTCTTTATTATTTCTACATTATTTATTATTAATACTATACATACATATTATAGTTGTGGAGATTATATAATTATACTAGCTGTTAAAGTAATTTTTATAATCATCTCCATAAAGAAAATGTTTCAAATATAATAAATTTAGTCAAAAACATTTAACTACTTTTACGAAAATATGATCAACGATAAATCTCACAAACCTATAATCTTATTAGAATAATATACTAATAACTATAGAATTTTCTCAATTTTCCCCTAATATACCAAGATTATTAACAACATATTCTTTTCAACATAATTTCTTCTGTGGTTGAAATTTATTACAAAAAAATTAGACATACTTTTCTATTAAGAACTCTTTTTTTAATAATTTTATAGCCTTTAATAAACTTTAAAAATCAACTAAAAAAATGGTGAAGTGAGTGTGTGAAAAAAAAGCCACTACCCCCTTTAATTTTTTATTATCAATTAATATTTATGTTTATCATTTCTATATTTTTAGTCCATTCATGTTATTTATGCTTTTAGCGTTGCATAACAGTTTTCCACGTGTGAAGATATTCAAAATTATGTTCCTCGTGCCACAATAGATACGTTGATGGACGCTTATGGACAAAGATTGTTGATAAAAAATAAGAAAAAGATATTAAGAATAAAAAAACGTAACTCGTGATCCATGAGAGTGATGAAACTATGAGAATCATACTATTAAACTATAAATACACACATGGTGAAATAACTTTTGTTCACAACACTCTTTTTCCTTCATTTATTTTCAACCAAACTTTCATTTTGATCGTTTTGCTGTTGTGGCTGAGGAGCCAAATGTAAGTTAACCATATCCCACTTTTCAATTCACTTGGTTATGCCTTTTGTTTCGTATGTTAATGTAAGATTGTAGTTATTCTCTGTTTCATTGTTCATTCTGGTCTTTGCTTACGAAGCATGGCTAGTTCTTGTTGAGTGTTTTTGTTAGAAGTGAATTTTAAGTCTAATTTAACTCTAAACGAGAGTTGTAAGATAAGATTTGCACCCATCTATAAATTATAAATTGGTTTTATCTCTAGTCGATGTGAGACTTTCAACATGTTTAGAACAACACAATAAAATGTTGTGTTGTTATGATCAATTTTTTGGTTTTTTTAAGAAAATTAATTGAAATCAAGTTTGATTCTCTTGACCAAATTAAAATAGTTTTAATTTTCTCAGTGTTAGCATTCTTTTTTCTTTTGTAAAGTTTCAATAGAAAATGTCCTTTTACAACCCACTTTCAAAAAGTTGACATTCTGAAAATTCTATCTAGAAAATTTCTTATAAATTATTTTTCTAGACTAATTTCTAATTCTAATAAAGTAAAAGTGATTATATTTTTAAAAATGTAAGGGACACTGTCTAATAATTTCTCTCACACACTCTCTCTAGCTGTTATTGACAAAAATTTATCAAAAACTAAAAATTTTAATGGTATATAACTTCAACTTTTATAACTTCTTCTTCTGACTTAAGATCATCAAAACTTGTGAATTCTGATAAATTTGAGCAGAAATAAAGTGTTCTGCTTCATGTATTTAGCCTCAGACTAGGTCTTCTGACTTAAGATCATCAAAACATGTAATTCTGATCAATTCTATCAGAAAGAAAGTGTTCTGCTACATGTATTTGGCCTCAGGGTAGGGGGTAAGAGGTTGTTCCAAACATTCTTAGGAATTGTTGTGTGAAATGATTGAACACGACAAGACAAACTTGTTTGACAGATATATCTGACAAGAACTTGCATTGCTTTGCACAAAAGTTATGCAGATATGGCCAACACCTACAAGCCAAAGAACATTCTCATCACAGGAGCAGCAGGGTTCATTGCATCTCATGTCTGCAACAGAATAGTCCGGAACTATCCTGACTACAAAATCGTTGTCCTAGACAAGCTCGATTACTGTTCAAATTTGAAGAACCTGATGCCCTCACGTTCATCTCAAAATTTCAAGTTCATAAAGGGAGACATTGGTAGTGCTGACTTGGTCAACTACATTCTCCTCACCGAGTCTATTGACACCATCATGCACTTTGCAGCACAAACCCATGTGGACAACTCCTTTGGAAACAGTTTTGAGTTCACCCAGAACAACATTTATGGCACACAAGTGTTGCTGGAGGCTTGCAAAGTCTCTGGTGGCCAAGTGAAGAGGTTCATCCATGTGAGCACTGATGAGGTTTATGGGGAGACAGATGAGGATGCAGTGGTAGGAAACCATGAGGCTTCTCAGCTGTTACCTACCAATCCATATTCTGCCACAAAAGCTGGTGCTGAAATGCTTGTCATGGCATATGGTAGGTCATATGGCTTGCCTGTTATAACCACAAGAGGGAACAATGTTTATGGGCCTAATCAGTTTCCTGAGAAGTTGATTCCAAAGTTCTTGCTCCTGGCCATGAAAGGAAGGATTCTTCCAATTCACGGGGATGGCTCCAATGTCAGGAGTTATCTCTATTGTGAAGATGTGGCTGAGGCATTTGAGATCATTCTCCATAGGGGTGAGGTGGGACATGTTTATAACATAGGGACAAAGAAAGAGAGGAGGGTGATTGATGTGGCAAGAGACATATGCAGGCTTTTCAACTTGGATCCTGACACCCGTGTCAAGTTTGTGGAGAATAGGCCTTTCAATGATCACTGGTAATGAACCTCTCTGGCACTGTACCTGATAACACCATAGGCAAGCTAGGCAAAACTTCAAACTCTAGATTTAGCCACAACAAGTACATGGCTTGCCTCAGATGTTTTGGAGCTTAAGCTCCCTCAAGAACCTAATCTCTCCTCGAATCATATTTCTGGTTCAAATTTACTAGTTAGTGCTTGTATGAGTTATTAGTGTTGTATAGTTAGTGCAGTCTCTGTTAAAATTAGTATAATTCAGTTCAAAAATTAGTATAGTTAGTAGTTCAGTTCAGTTTATAGTGTCGAGTTTAGTACAGTTAAGTATTAGTTCAGTTCAGGTACAGTTTAATAAAAACAAAAGCAGTTCAGTTCAGTTTTTCTGAACTATTTTTTAGTGCAGTTTAGTTTTCTGAACTAGTTTTTAGTTCAATACAGTTTTTAGTAGTGCAGTGCAGTTTGTTGATTTGCCACCCCTACTACGAGTTAATCGTTCCGCGAACGGGAGTATACTGAAGCCTCCAAGACTAGAGGACCTCCTGCTACTCCTCACCACATGCATCCTCCTTACTTAGAATGAAAGACCATTGGAGTGCCGGAAAACCCCCAAGACTGAGCTACAATGCAATCATTCTACACTAAGGATCTCACCAAGAGATCCTACAGATGGAACTTGATTTACAACTTGGATCATACTTTCATCCCTTTGTAATCATATACTTTCTGCCACAATCAACATAACACAATCTCCAATATACATTATAGCACCTCACAATTTATAAAATAACATCTCCACAATTGAATCTAAGTTAATCAATACCAAGAACCAAACAATTCCACTAACCCATAACATGTTCATAAAATGCATCAATTTATACATACCTACAAGTAATATAATTATTGATTAACACTCACGTTTCAATATAAGAAACAACTATCCTTACTTATTAATTTTATATATATATATATATAATGTATGATAGGTACATTCTTATAAATATATATTTTACATTATATTATTATTATATATATATATACGTAACAAATATATATATATATATACATCTATTTAAATGGTATATATTAACATATCTATTATATATATATATATATGTATATATATATAGTAAATATATATAACTATACTTTGTTATATTAACTATCTATATATTATATATATATTTAATATATTTATATATGATCCTTACTTTGAATTCCAAACACATAGTGATTGTTTTCTAAAATTATAATTGACTAGAAATTAACACATGATAATTTTATGCATCTACAATTAACTTATTTTATTTTATTTTCATCCCAGTAGAGATCTTTCTTTACCCCAATTGGTCACCGGAGAGGACCCAGATGTCTGAACGCATCAACACTCCCCTTCGACGCCAGCATATATGACTAGTCACAACTGACGGCACAGGCCAGGGCTGCTCTATGATCAGGGATTGGTACCAACTCAGGTTTTTAAGGTTCCTTATCCTACCAACAAGAAAGGCTCTCAATAATTAACAATTAATTTATTTAAATTATCTACTTTGTTCTCTTATCTCTAAATCTGAAATGCCTAATTTTAATATTTTCACCTCCTCTCACAGCAACCTCAACAATACCTATACATCTATTTAATACCCATATACATGCTATTACAGACTCCCGACCTTCCACAAGATCAACTTCAGCCAACAAACTCATTCAAAACAAATTAAATTCATCACATCACAACATGCACAATTTCACAGTTTCAATTATAACACCAATACAATAAAAGTCATAAAATAGTTTCACAAGAGCACACCAGTTCAACATTCATATGCATATATTTTTATAAAATAAATTCATACAAAAAATAATTAGCTCCTTTTACCTTAGTGGTTACAGCACAACACCTCTTTAGAGGAAACCCAAAACAGTACTCTTGCACAGAAGCAAGTTCCAACAGGATCTACAAAACGTCAAATTGGGTGCAGAGACATCTCTTAGAGTTAGAATAGGTAGAGAATCTAGAGAGGAAATCCATTTGATTTCATACAACTAGAAATTTGCATGCCCTAGGTTCAAAGGAAAGGGAGGTAACATAAAGATAACTTACCCGTTCAAAGTAGAATTTTAATCGGATGAATGGGAAGCTCTCAACTCTGTGAACGAAAGCACACTACCTATTTAAATTTTCAAACGATGGAAAGTGGTGGAAAGTAGAGAGAATCAGAGCAAGAAGAAAAAAATGAAGCTGAGCTTAGAGAGAGAAAGAGTAACTGGATGAAGAACTCAGAGCTGGAAAATGAGGCCTCTTCTAAGGTCCTAATGTCCTTAGCTTCTTGGATAAGGCTGCAGGACCCAATAGCCTTACATTTTCAGGCTCTTACAATAACTGTTATTTTACTTGATAACTTTTTGGGGAGTTAGATTTGGTGATTCTATTTCAAATAATTTTTTATTTATTAAATATAGAACAACTAGGTGGGAGAAGAATATTTACTTTAATCTCTTTATTCGTATTATAATCATCATACTTGATAAATAATTCGTATTAATGTTATGATTAAAAAAATTACTCAATTATTCTAAAGTTAATTAAGAACTCAAGAAACTTTAGTCATTCTTTTTCATGATGACTTTGTTGGCCAAAAATCACCTATGAAGTTTGATGGATGAAAGAGTTGCACAAGTCAAGACAACTTAAGGATTTATGTATTTTTATAAAGCTTTTGTAATAATCTAAGTTGATGAATAGTGCTCACAAATGTATTAGACCATTATTGTAATTTACATTTAAATGCTGTTGAGATTCGTCAACATTCTGTTTTAATCGATTAAACCTAGTTTTTTAATCGATTAAAACCGAGGTGGCCCTGAAACCCAAGTGGCACTGGAAAATCGATTAAAGTGTATAATATACGATTAGCTAACGATTAATCCTGAATAATCGATTAACAATGACCGTTGGGGTTTCAGATTGAAAAACGAGCCGGTTGTACTCATTTTAATCGTTAGTACTTATGTTAATCGATTAAATGCGTTAGATGGCCCGTTTTCGAAGATGGAAGGGTATTAGGCTGAGTCTATAAATGGCTCACTCTTATCTCTCAAAAATAACTCTTCCCTTGTGCTCTAGTACTCTGAACTCTTTTGAGAACTCTGGAATTTGTTGAAGTAAGGAAACTCTTGTCTGCAAGTCCTGAAGTGGTACGTGGTGACAGGATAGCTTGTTCATCCTTGTGTGTCTGAGGAAGTGTCTGGAAGAGGATCATCCTTTGTGAAGCATTCGAAGGAGGTGGTCATCCTTTGTGAGATTCAAAGGAGGTGTAAGTTCATCTCTTTGGTTTCAAGAGAGGTGTGTAATTTCTAAACTGTCACAAATTGTTTTTTTGTGTGACTAATATTTGTAACTGTTTTGTGATAGTGAAAAGGTTTATCCTGTTTGAGATAAGCGACTGACGTAGGATCTAGTGATCCTGGAACCAGGATAAAATCACCTGTGCAATTTTTCTCTTTCCCTTACTCTGTCATTTATTTATTATTTATATCATTCGCCCAGTAAGAAAACTTAAGGAAAAATATTTTAAAAAGGCATAATAAGGAAATAACCAATTCACCCCCCTCTTGGTTTTGTTACCACGTAATAATTCCGCTGCAGCGATTCTAACAGACTTAGTCATACTTTCTAACACAAGGGTTAGAAAGGTCACTTGCTCTTTGGAGTCTTTAATTAAATGATTTAGTCTCTTAAACACTTACCTAAAATGCATGGATGCTTTCAGTACTTGACTTATTCGGATATAATCATACATCACTTTCCAACCTTAATTCAACCAGTAATGGGCTGCAGCAACTTCTCTTTATTTAGACAAATAGTTTTGTTTATACAAAATCTAAAAGAAATACAAATTGGAAAAGAAAGTACGAAGAAATGAGAAATTCAATAGTATGATTATAACAAACTAATTCATACCATAGTAGCAAAAAGTGGAAAATAAATGGATAGACGTGTATACATTTATTTATAGTTAATTATGCCACTCGATAACCCAAAGTTTTCCTTTTGGCTCAAAGACATATTTGAGCAATGAGTCCCTTACAGGCAAAAGCTCAGGAAATTCCTTCTGCAGTTGTGATGCATCCATTTCATTAGTACTGGGAGAAGGGAATTGACCCTGTCGTTCAACTGTAAAATTAACCCCATTTAAAACTAGGATCAATATATTCCTTGTACATCTCAAGAATCTCATTGCAGGTCACAATACCAGGGTTTGTGAAGTTCCAAATGCCCCTGCAATTCCTTTTGGCCATCTCAATTGAAATGGGCACAAGTTCATCCAAAACAGTGATGCTGTTTGGCATGTTGACCACTTTATCAGAACTTGTTATCTTACTGATGAAGTTATGTGGGTTGCTGAGATCAGATGACACTGGCAATTGGATTCTTAGGGTGCACACATTGTCATATTCCTTTAGCAACTCTTCAACCTAAAACCATATGGTGACAAAAACCAAAGTTAGTGATCATGCAAAAATTGCAACAGAAATCGCAAAAGGAATAAACAGTGTGTGCAAGTTTTTCTTTTTAACATACCTTGCTTGCGTTCTGAAATAGAAAGCATCAGTGGAGTTTTTTGTGTCTTCCAAATTACCACCAAAGGCATAATTCATCATTGGGAGACCATGGTCTTTGCAAACATGTGCCAATGTTAACACACCAACAACATTTGCTCGTATGGCTTCTGATTTATGAGCTTCAAACCATTTCAAATTCAGTGCTCCTGTCACCCCAGAAGCATTGAAAACATGAGTTGGTTTACTGGTGTTTATGTCGGCCAATATTTGTGATTTGGATCCTTCATCTAAACGTGCTTTGCCATATTCAAAGGGTATCCCTTGCTTCTCGCAAATATTTCCTACAAGCCCCCCAATCCACCCTGCACCACCATAGATCAAGAACTTCACAGATTGCTTTCGTGGTGACGCATTGCTTCTTATAGTTGGAACAACCATTTTGTTCTGGTTGGCATGGTTTGC